CAAGCTCATGCCGCATTCCCGATGGTGCAAAACAAAAAAACTAAATACCTACTGAGGTTGTGCATCCCATGTTTTTGTGCTGAAAGCCACTCGCACAATCTTGTATATACTTATATAGTTGCAAATTCAGGCAAGCAGCTGTGTGTGTTGTAAGCAATGCCATTTGCTGCAACGGCATCAACGATTTGGTTGTTTTGGGCCACACACCAAAGAGTTTCCGGTGTCGGCCCTCCTGGGCATCATGAGGTTCTGGTTCCAAGCGTGAGAAGTGCCACAGTGCCCAAAAGAGCAAAGGTTGCACGGTGCTTCGGACCAGGAGTTTCTTCAGGAGAAAAGGCGTTAAACCACCCACGATGGCACGAGTGCACCGACCGTCAAACATCCAAGTGTTGGTAAAGGTGCAAATATCCCGGCCAGTGTTCAGAATCTCTTCATCATAGATCTTCCAGTTGAACTTCTTGTACTCTTCCGATCCTTGTTGGCACACTTTCCATGCTAACTTCCAGCCACCAAAACAACTTTCATCTAAGGCGGTCGTGGTAACGAGTGCCAATAGCCAGGCAGAAAACATGCGGAAGGTCATCAGCAATTTGTCTGCTTGGATTCCAGAGAGTCGACTGAATCGGTTCGAAATCGGGACGGCCAGCAGCATATCAATGATCACCGCTTGCAACGGGGCGGTTCCGTGGAAGAACATCAAGGTGTCGTCAGCCAAATCCCACGCATTCTGTGCAGGGATTGACTGAGCACATGTAAAGAAAATCGAAGGCAATGATAAGATGGTCACCACCCAAATCCAAGTGGTCCAAACGCTCATTTTGACCAGCCTCTTCTTCCAACCGAAACCAGTGTTCGGAGCGCCCCTAGTGGGCTTCGGAATCCCTTCGACAAAGCTGCGAAAGAAGAATTGCATGGACGACCAGCACATGACGACACCGAATTCTACCCATGGTCTCCATGGTTTCTCTGCGCTGAAGTTCGCAAGTGTGGTCTGCGACAAAAGCGGGCAGCAATCGTAGTATTTGCCAAAGAAAACAAAGAACATGAGAACTGGACCAGCCAATAGAAATGTGCTGAGAGTTGCTTTTGTCCTGAGAGCGAAGAAAAGTCCCAAATGGCGATAACATGCTTCAAGGGTATATACTTACACGTTCCTTATAGTTCCTGCCTTTTCCCGGGGGCATGTATCATAACGCACGCAAAGCCTTTGTGGCAGAAACTTCGCTCCTCCGCTAATCATAAGCTGATGAAAGTCAGGTGTTGAGCTAGGGACTCGCAAGTCAGCGCATGCAGCGACTCACCAGTGTCGGATGCGTGTAGTCTTAGACTCCAAGGGACGTCACACGGCATACCTTTTCAAAAACTGGGACGACCTCGCATATCCCATGATAGAATCTTGGTTCATCGCCCCCCAAATATTGAAGATGTTTTACCATCTAATTAAATGGGCTGGCTTATTCATCAAGAGTCCATAACTCACCAGCCAACCCCGAAGTGGACTAAGCTCACCCCAAGTTTGACCGGGGCCATCCTTATATGCTCTTTGAGGATCTTGTTACTGTTGGACAAAGGGCACTCTCCGTGGAGCTAACATAGAAGTGGAAAACCCATGTTTGTAGAGAAAAATGGTCTTCCAGAAGGCAATTGTCCACTTCCATGTGAGCTCCACGCAGTGTAAACACTTTGGACAACATGGCGCCACGCCACAGTGCCAGGTTTGATGAGACCACACGAGCTCCCGCAGTGAACGTCCTCAAGCGTTTCACCACTGGAAATCTTCTCCATAGCACTGGGCAAATGGCACTGGCAAACGTCACCAGGATCACTAAACCGATCAAGACGAGCAAGTTGGACTTCCAAACATCGGGTGAATAATAGAGGAAGGGTTGCTGTTCTTCGATGCTGATCCAAGGTGAAGTGAGTGGGCTCCCATCTCCAAGCATGTTGCCCATGATCACCAAGCCCGAAATGTCAGCAGAGCCAATGCTGTTTGGAATCTTGCACGAGAAGCGATTCCGATGTAGAGTGAGATTGGCCGAACCTGTGGCAGGACACTGACCCAGTGATTTAGGGCAGTTCTTTCGCACTTGGCTTCTCAGTTCCTGGGAAATCACGTGTGCCAACCGAGCGGCTTCATTGCAGCCATAAGTGTAAAACAACCTGAATTTGGAGTTATCCAAGCACGGTATACTTAAATTAAGATCTCCAATGCTTCCCTGAATAGAATTCTCGTGTAGCGTCAACACTCCAAGATGCCTAAGGCGGTGCATGCTTTTCGGAAGCACCCCTGCAAGAGTATTTCTGTGCAAGGTCAGAACTGCAAGTTCTGTTGCTTGGATTTCGGGCAGAGATCCATAGAAACGATTGTTGTTGAGAGCAAGAAACTTCAATCGAGCAAAGCGCATGAGACATGGTGGCACTTCACCAGTGAACTGATTGTGGCTGAGGCGAAGCTCTTGCAAGACACCTCCAGGGGAGGGATGCCCTAAGGCGCAAAAATAGTCGACAAGCCTGGAAATGCCTCCAGCAAAGTTGTTGCGGCTCAGGTCTAGAACTTGGAGCTTCTCTGTGAAAAGATGCGCCGCAAACGCACCACTGAAATTGTTGCAGCTGGCATCAAACACTCTGAGGGTGGAGATGTTCAACACGGAGATATTACTTAACCAGTTTGATTCCAGGAACAGCTCCTGTAGCTTCGGAAATTGGCCAAAGTCAGCAATTCCGCCAGTCAAGTAGTTGTGGGAAAGTGAAAGCCATTGCAACTCCTGAAGCTGGCCAAGCTCATGGGGAATCTGGCCAGACAACTGATTCTGGGCCAAAGACATCCTTTCAATGCTGGCCAGCCCTCCGAGATCTGCTGGGATGTGACCCGTCAAACGATTCTGGTTAAGGAACAACTCTTGCAATTCCTTGAGTTGTCCGAGCTCGGGGGGAATCTGGCCTGACAGTTGGAGCTGATTCAGATAAAGCAGCCGCAAGTGTTGGAGCTCACCAAGCTCTGGTGGAATCGCGCCAGTCAGCTGGTTTTGATCCAAGCAAAGTGTCTCCAAGAATTCGAGCTTGCCCAGCACGGATGGAATCGCACCGCTCAGCTGGTTGGAGCCCAGCTCCAAGCGCCTCAAGAAGCGCAATTGGCCAAGCTCAGTGGGAATCTCACCTGTCAGCTGGTTATGGCCAAGGCTAAGCACCTGCAGGCTGCTGATCTGGCCGAGCTCCTGGGGAATCTCACCCTGGAGCTGGTTGTGCTTAAGTTCAAGTCTCTCCAGGATTTTCAGCTCACCAAGCTCCACAGGAATCCTCGGAGGTGTCCAAAAGAGACAAAAAGATATCTGTTTCGAAAGGCACAGAGTTCCGTCGGTTCTTCCACATGACATTCCAAGGTCAACTCAAATCAAAAGAACTCATATATGGATTCCTACGTTGGTATTTTATGTACTGTAAACAACTTATCTACCATCGACCCCGCAAAATCACCTTGTTCCAAGAATCACACCATCGAGCTCTTGCTGACTTAGGAAAATACCTACGACTCGACCATAACCATCGCAGTGGAAGTGCTGCCACAATGAGCAGGCATTGGCAGAAAGGCTCTTCGCACGGGCCGATGACATGCCGAGCTTTTCCAAAATCTGCTGTAGTCGTAGCCATTCCTGGGGAAGAAAACACACTGAGCTTCTGGTATCTTCAATCATGCAACAAAGAGCATGGCACAGAATCTCACAATTCAGAATTCAACAGTGACTTTTGGAACAGGTTCATCCCACCTTGTGATAATCAATTAATTCTACAAAGGAGACACCAATCATTTCCATTCATTTCCGTCCTGCCAGCACCCACTCCTCACCAGCATCAGTCCGATCAAGAGAAGATGAACTCTCACCACAGCGCCACGAGTCCCGCGGCGATGACAATACATCGTTCTGAAGGTTCTTCACAGCGACCACTTTGAGCCGCACTCGGGACTCGGAGCGACACCCAAACTCGGAGCGACACCGAAACGCCAAAAAAGGGAACGCTCTCAATCAGGGTGCAGGGCATGGTGCAGCAGATCGGATCAAACATGATCAAACCATGATCCCTATAGGTCCTAGGTGTTCAGGGACCAAGGCCGGAGTGAAATCCGAGTGGTTGGGGCTTTTGACGGTCGTGGAAAACGCGTGGACCCTCTGGTGGTGATCTTGTGAGGGTCATCAATGTGATACCTATAATATGTCTCAAAGCCAAACCTTATTGACCTGTGACTGCACTGATCCTCAAGCTTGTTTTACTTCGAGTGACGCCCACCGTGACATATGGTTGTTGAAGAAGGAACTGAGTTTGCATTCACAAACTGTCCTGAACATGATCTGACATGTTTTTGTGGCATCAAGTCTGGTAAGTCTTTTATAACACTTGTTCTGGCGACATGTATAATTATGACATCTATTCCGACATATGTTCAAGTCTGACATGTGTTCTGACACCTGCTCTGCTCCAACATCTAGTTTGACATTCTCTGATACATTATGACTTTAATTGTTCTGACAATATGTTTTCGCATGTGTTCTAGCATAGGTCAACATGTGTTCTGTATTTTTTCTGTATCTACGTTCTGACTCTTGTTCTGACATATGTACTTGCACGTGTGCTGGCGCCAGGTCTGATGCTCGACAAGCCATGACCGCTCTGTACTGGCGGTCCGATGAGCAAGAAGGCACACTGCACTTGAAGCAGGGTACAACGCGAAGGAGGCGGAGCGGCGGAGGAGAAAAGGACGACATGATAGTCCATCCTAAGAGCGATGGCCTCCAACCTATGGCCTCCACCCTAAGAGCGATGGCCTCCACCTCCACCCTAAGAGACATGTGGAGGAAAACGAGGAAGCAAAAGACAAGGAATACGCTGATATCAAGTCTAGAGACTAGGATGGTCATGGTTTCCACTGTGACAGCAGTTTCTCCACCCCTGGGTGAGTGTGAACTCGACAGCCAATCGCCCGCCACGAAAACATTGCGTCCCTCCTTCAGAAGCCAATCCTTTACAGTCCGTGCATTCAGCATGGTCTCTGCCTGGCCAAGGGGTGTCCCACCAGGCATCCTCAGGTTTGACCGGATTCACCACGCCCCCCGGTTTGCAAAGGAATTTGAGTCATGTTCCAAGTGGGACGCCGAAGTCGGACCGCACAGTGGGGTGCTTTTGGTGTTGAGAAGGCCACGTTCACCCCGTTCGTAGCGTCCGAAACGCTCCGTTCGAGTCGCGATGCCAGGGTCGCCCCGTTCGTAGCGTCCGAACGTGGGATGCTTTTGGTGTTAAGATGTGGTGAGTCTTTCCAAGACTTTGGACCCCCAAAAGCAGTGTGTGAGTGTTTTCCAAAATCCTCATCTAACCGCAAACTCACAAAGTACTGGATTGTTTTGGGGTAATATGTCTATATGCAAAATGGAGCGTAGATAGGCATAGAGTCAATGAGGGAGCCCAAGAATGGCAAGGCCGAGAGTTGGTTCTGAAAACGACCAGACTTGCATGGATGAAACAATGGACAGGTCCCTCTAAGCTATGTCAATACCGTTGTCCGTCTTACTTTTTGCAACAAGGACTGTTGGTAGTTGCGGCACACTACTAAACTCTGATGTTGAGCTCCAGCAGCATCTATCTATTCAACGAATTTTCACCAGATCCTGAAGTCAGTTCGTTCAGGTGAATTTTCACAAAACCTTTATTCTGCCCCTTAAGACCCTCTGTTGTTTTCCAACCAGCGATGGCCTCCACCCTACTAGCGATGGTTTCAAACAGAGAACCACTCTCCGACTCATCGCAAATGACTAAGGGCCCTTCACCACTCTTACCCACGAGACTGTTTCTGTGACGACCCCATCGCTGCCACGGAGGTCGCACCGTAGTGAACGTTTTGGAGATCACCACAACCAAGGTCGTCTCAGCATTAAGCCCGGTCCTCAAGCAAAACGGCGGGCGTGTGACACCATGAACCACAGGGCTAGTGCAGCTGGAACTTGCTAGTGCCGACTCTTGCTTGTCCAGGATGAACTTCTTGCAACCAAAACTCTAATGTACTTGGACTCCCTTGGACTCCAAAGATTCGAGGACCAAAAGATCCATCCGACCCCTGTACTTAAAGCCCACCAGCTGCCCAGCTGCCCACCAGCCGCTCTACTACTATGCGTCACTCCGGTCGGGTACCGACTACCGGCCACGCGCGCGCGCGCGCGCGACCGACCGAGGCACAGCGCGCGTTTCACGTCGATGGGATCCACATTGGCCAAGAACCGCAAGGAGCGCCCCTGCGCGGCCTGCGCCCCTGCTGGGTCGGTGCCTCGGCGATTGGAAGACCCGATTGGAAAGAAGGACTTGGAATTGGAAGACAGACCCTGACACTTAGGTCTTCATGAGCATGACTTATGAATAACATATGACATATATGTGTATAATTAGATTGATAATATATGTAATTTAATATCATATACATATATTAAGTATAGACACTTCATAAATTGGATTGGCTTGTGCCATTCATTCAGGTCAATCCAGAATGACACCAAGGCTACATATATGACGATATGGTCTCCTTGATAAGGTCCTCTTAGTCCTGTTGACCCCCCCTTGATGCTCATCTTCGATTTCTTGTGTATACTGAGTATTACTGCTAAAATGACGATACCTAAGCACATCTTCTCACATCCAGAACACACCCGCGCTTAAACTCCAAGCGAGCTTCGCAGTGCTTCATGGACGAACTCCACACCCAGGTAGGAGCCACCGATTCCTGAGCGGACCGGCTCAGCGCCTGGTCTCAGAGTGCCTTTTTCTTTTAGGCCACACCTGAACAAATAGGAACGGCCAATTTCAATATATTTTGGAAAACGTTTGAACACAGGTGCCAAAAGTTGCGATTTCAGGTTTTTGATTGAAGCCTCACTTGATATAAGACTAAGTTACATTAAGTTACATATTTTGAAAGCTTCTCCAATGGCCAATGTCAAAGCGGTTACTTTTCTTCTACGTATAGTTCCTGTGCTCTTGCCAGGGACGGCTAGTAAGCCAGAACCAAACGAAGCATAACAAATAACAACGCTTAACTTATTCACATGTACAAGGTTGGTGCCAGGCTGCTTGCAAAGGATTTGCTTGGTACTGGCCTGCTTCCTACTCACAGTGCATCAAACACTCTTCCATCCTAGTCACCGTGCCTTCAGCCTTCAGCCACCTTTTCTTACCCCAAGAAGCTACGTTCGTAGCTGGCATCGCTACGAACGGAGCAAGTTCGCAGAGCTCACGTAGCTCCTGGCCTTACTATAGTACTAGTAACAAGGAAGCTACGTTCGTAGCTCCTGAGAGATGAACGTTGACTCAAAGGCACCGATGCAAAGCACGTCCGTGAGCGTCTTGCCTTCCGAACGAGTCGACGGCCCCTGCACTGGCGGGGCCCATGCCATCGGGCGTCTTTTTCGGACGACTGCGAACAGAACCAATGGCAAGTGGAGGTGGTCCAACGCGTGATGCGGAAAAGGGCCGAACATTTCAGGTCCATCTTCCAGTGGTGAACTTCAAACAAAACAACTCCGCAGGTCCGCAGGGGTTTTAAATAGAAGGCTTTTGGCCAGGCATTCACTGACGAGTGGGGTCTAGGTCACATATGGTCACATTGGCCGGACGTAGTGTACTTGAGCAGTCATCCGACTACAGGTGTTCTGCAAACGGATCAATCTGGAAACCTCTATGTTCAATGTTTCTAGGTGTCAACAAAATCTGGCCGTCTCAAGCACAACGAGGCTCCACGAAAAGTGTCGAACTATAATTACATCTTCCTAGTGGCAATCCAGAATGAGAAATCCTTAATTAGTGACTGCTGTAATAGTATCGTACCACGCTGGAAATGTGGCACATGTCTCCCCTTCTATTAGTAGACGACCCAATCAGGTTGAACACAGGTGAACGGTTGCCCAGTCAAACGGAACTAGTTGGGATGAGATGGGAGGAGTTGGTTGCTTCTGTTTTTTTTTCAACTTTTGTCCTAGCAAAAAAACACACGAGAACGCGATGCCAACGGTTTCGAGACAATCCACATGGATCAACAGGTTCCCGGAACTTTCAACGGCTTCCGAAAAACGGCGCCCGACGGGTCGAACGAGACGGAGGTAACCGCGCGTTCGCGCGTGGCGCTGTTAACCCGTCGTGTCACGCCGGTGTGGCCCAAAGACGCTATGGCATTACTAGGAACAAATAGCTAGGAACAAGGGCATCGCTACGAACGGAGCAAGAAGCTACTAGAGGCAATGGCCCAACGATTTCCTGTTTCTCACGCCTGTGTGGCCCACAAAGCTGCCACTGCGGACCTTCTCGCTGAAGGCCTGCGTAACTCGGAGGTCATGAATCACTCATATGATATATCTACATGTTGAATGATCATGACTTTCACATTGTTTTGCTGTTGTTTCGAACGATAAATCAACCTGTTTTTGTTTGCTTTTTGTGTTGATCTAATAAGACCCAGCAGTGCATCCGCCAAATCTCACGGAGGAAGACGTCTCAGGTCACGACCAGGACGGCTCACCAGGTTTCTGCTCCTAGTCACCCTACCCAAGACGTCACTGATGCAGAAACTGATAGCAAAAGTGTCTGGAGTTCATCACATGTCTGAATCTCCCATTGAGTCAATGTGGGTGAATGCGCAATATTCTATGTGGACATTGAGGGACACTATCTGTAATCTATGTTCATCAGATCAATGTGGGCAATTCCATCCATGGATCGTCTTCGTGTTTGAACACCACCTGGTCATCAAGGGAGCCAGGTCGATGCTGTCTCTCTTTCGCATTTAGAAACATGGACAACTGCAGAATCCCCAACATGGCTAGAGACCTCTAGGTTTAGTAGCTAGGCATGCACTGGGATGTACTGCGTATGCCGGTGTTCCGATGAACTGTTGGACAAAAGGAGAAACATTGACAAAACCTTCAGATGGATCAGGGGGGATGAGCATGATCGATCTGTTCAAACCTCAGAGCACCAAGGCTTTTCAAGGCATGAAATAGTGAGAAAGACCAACTCCCACACTGAGCCAGATGTTTTACCCAAAGAAATGGTACATCATCATGTTACATAACTCTTCAGGTCTGTGGTTTTAATTATTGAATTTACAACAGAATGATCATGAATGATTGGACATCCCTGATGGGGATTGACGGGGCACCTGAGCCAGAGACCCAAACCATTTTTTGTCGACCCTGCTACACCCAGACGTGCCATCTCCTGAGCCCAGAGTCATGGCCCATGGCAACCGTCCATACCGTCCATCCGCCGGTCGACCGCATGGCCCCGCATGGCCCCGCATGGCCTTGATCGCATCCAGGACTGAGTGCACCTCAGGCACCACGTTCTTCCCATCAACGTTGATCACCTCCTGAGGATCGAACGTTCTGCGACGTCACCGCGTACCCAGAGGTCACAGCGGTGAAGACAAACGACGCGTGAAAACTGTGGCGCGGTAGTTGTTGTGCGGTAGCTAGTTGTGCACCTGCTTGAGATCCGAGATACTAAAAACCATTGTAATATACACATTTGATACATATTATATATAATATATACAATATTGTGCAATGCTAAATAGATGTGAGTTTGTTGTCTTCATCAGTATGACCAAACAAGCCAGGAACTTTGACTGCTGCGTGACGCAACATGTGCACCTTGCAAAGGCTTAATCTGTGAGAAGCACCAGTTGGGATTTCTGATCAACAGCACCGCTGGTTAAACGGACATTCGCGATCATTCGCGGAACACAAACATACCAACTAGTAGAAACACGTGCTTGCTTTCTTGAACAGCAACATGACTTGCCAAGAATTCCAAGCAGAATGCTGGTCACAATCTCTTGAAAGGATTCTTCCATTGCTTCTTCAAACCAACCGCATCGTTTTCTCCGTTCACCGCTCCTGGGGAGGGGCCCGCAGGGCGACGTGCAAAACTGCCCGGCCCTCCGTCTGGTTGATCTTTTCCTCAGACCGTCCCGGCGTTCTTCTTGGGGGGGGATAAGCAAAATACATATAGCAGTATAGTGTCAACACGGGATTAATCGACCCACCCCTTCCAGGTCAACAAGATCAAGGTTTAAGATTGGAGGTATTGGAGACCACATCCCCCTAATAAAATGATGACCTGATGATGGATGATGGTTGATGGGATTCTGTGTGAACCATGAGGCCTGTGTAAGGGGGTGCCCTTTGTGAGCTCGAAGACCTTCAGATGCTGATGGAGTTTTAATAAGGGACAATTAACAAATGTTGCTAGAGGTTTTAGGGATTGTGGAACAATGGATAAAGAAAGTCAATGATGGGCTGCTTGATTAATAGGGGGAGGTGTCGGGGAGGATATCAATGTGGAAATTCAATTGTCAAATTGTAATTAGTTTAGTATTGGGGGATCGAGCTGGGCTTGATTGATATAAGGGGAGGTTTTCCTTAATCCTGTGTGTCGGTCACGGTGATGGGCTGAACTTGATTCCGTTCTTTCACACGCTTCGCACAGTGTTTAGTTCGCATCATGCATGGGACACGATGCATGATGCATGGGTCCAGCTTCGCTCCCCCAAGCTCCAGCTGAGCCTTCACTCACTCGGATCACTCGGAATCGATGTCACTCGGGCCCCGGCTCCGGCGAAGAGCGCCTTTTTCTTTTCTTCGACACCTGCTGCCTTCGCACATGGGAAGGTCTGAGAAACGGTTCCAGCCAGTTCAGTTGGAGGAACCTCGGAGGAACTGAAGAGCGACTGGTGGCCCGGCCCGGCGTGAAGGCCTTCCCTCAAATTGGGAAGTTACCTCAGGTCAACCATCTTCTTTGGTTGATGGTTATGTCGCCAAGCTTCTGCCACCCCCGGACGCTGGGGGTGACTGAATCCGGAGCTGCTCTTAGAAAGCCAGTCAAAAACTCAATACCAGGGCCCCCTAAAAGTCCCTAAAAGGTGTCTAACTTAAACTCGTCCATGCCACTCTGACACGACTTCTTTGCTTCCTGAAACTCCCGAACCCCACCGGAACCGCAGGCCTCGGGTTTTGGTGGGGTTTTGCCTCAAAGCCCCTGCGCCTTGGCCAGGTCGAAGAGCTGAGTCATGCACTCCTGGAACATCGATGTGACGCCCAGAGAGAAGCGAACGCCATACCGCGCTGGTGGCTGTTATCAGCCAGGTGGTCTTCATGTGAGCCTTGGAGAGGGTGTATTCTATGGAAGCTTGCAAGATTATGTTGCTCCTCTCCAGACTCGGACTTGCACATGACATTGGACACCGTGTCACTGCACGGCCGTGCGGCTCGTGCGAAAAAAGCAAAAACAGCTCGGCCACCCTGGAGAAAGTGTAATAGGATGTAATGGGCCATCGGATGCTATCGGCTATCTGGCCACTTCAATCACACAGCCTACTTACGGATTCTTGCATTTCTCATGATTTCTCAATTTCCTATCATACTCAGCCAGAATCAACCAATGACCCACTCCCAGGTCGATCTCAGTATCGTCCCAGCGTCATTCTCACCTACATGTTACTCCCGTCCCCACCTGAGTGACTTTTTGTCTGCAGTAGTCGAGGCAAATGCCCTCAGCCTCCACCATCATCGCATCACACCTGCTTCGTTTTCTCCGGAGGTGTAGCGGTTTTTGGTTGAAACCAGTTGTTCTTGGATTGCAACGATGGCAAATAAGCTGAAGATTCCTGGGACATCATCTTCTATGCAACATCATCTGGGCCAAAGTCGCTGATGTTTATGATACATCTTAAAAATATGAAAACCAGCCATGTGCATGGTACACAAAACAACACGTGGTATCGTTGGTGAATAGCCAGAACCAAAAACAACCACATGTCCGGCTATTCACAAATCACATATGTGATATGTGGCATTGTTAGTGAACAGTGAATAAGAGTGAATAGCCGATGGCAAGCACGTTGTGAAGGATTGTCAGCACGTTCCCAAGTCGCAACAGATTGATGCTGGAGCTGCAGCTCCTGTGTCTCTGAGTTCAGATTTTTGCATCCAAAAGCAACTACTTGAAGACTTTCAAGTTGAGCCGGCACGGGAAGCGGCTTTCTCTTGTCTGAAAGCACAACATCACTAAGCTGCCCCCATGGGGCCAAGCCCAAGCCCGAATGGCTCTGGTCTTATGTTGCACCGCAATAAGGATGGTTTCTGACCTTCCGGCCAACGGATTCTTGCCGAGCCCTGCAGAAAAATCACCGCGACACTCACTCACCGTTTTGCCTGGACAGTTGACATGTCTTGATTGATATCCTATATGGGGCTTCAAATACAACATCAGGATTCAAAAAATGGATCACACTCCCTTCTACATTGGAACACCCAACAAAAAGCCCAAAAGCCTAGCTCGGAGACCGGGCACGGCACCGTGTACCTCGCCTGGCTTCATCTTTCAACAAGTCTCTCAGGTGCGTCGACTTCAACGCGTCCGCGCTCTTCTTCAAGGCCCCGAAGGACGCCTCTGTCATTGGCCTTAAAAGCGAAGACGGACGATGGGCGACTCAAAGCGGGTTCTATCTACTTTTAGTAGTCTTTAGATCTATGTTCTATATCATGTGTTATCCACTCTACTATATAGAATAGAGGACTTTTTGTATCTTTTCTCTATTCTTTTAGATGCGTGTATATACTTTCTGGCCAAACTTGAAGATTTCAGCTTCTTTCAAGATCCCAATGCTTTGAAGGTTCAGCACCTCTTCATGTAGCTGTTAGAACTCTTTGGCAGCTTCCTTCCATTTGGCTTTTCACTGCTGCTGACATGGACTGAGCACCGATTTGTTGCACGCGTTGCGATGATTTTCTATCCGGGACAGCGATGGCGAACGCTCGATGGCGGAGAAAGAAAGCCATCCTCAAAGTCCCGGCCCGGTGGAGTAACTTCTTGATCGCTCCAAAAAACGAATCAAACAAGGAAACTCTATGTAACATCTATGTATATATATATAAAGGTCAATACAATATCAAGACTTGGCTGTCAGAGAGAGGTGCAAGTTCAAACACATCTTTGGATTCCCACATCTCATACATATATACTGCACTTGCACCCAACCAAGCTTGTGTGTTCATGTCATCCTCCTGCCAATGTGGAACTTGTGTGTCAACTTCTGTCAAATGACTTGCATGGGAAGTATATGCTTGTCCATGTCTTTTCTGCAATATGATTTATGCCTTTGATGAATAATACAGTATCTATTCCAACCTCATCACATGTCTTTAATCAAACTGCCATAGCGTCATAGCGTGCTTTCTCGCTATCCATTCCCACCGATCGCTCCTCCACTCACCACACTTCCCGCCGCCTTGAGCCTTTTAGCTCAACAGCTTGTGCCTCTAAACCCAGCTTGAGCCGAGACATGCCGCGCACGGTTTGACGCAGCAAATGCCCGCAAAAGACCACGGAAAACGCAGGAAAAACAAGACCTGGATCTTCTTCGTCATGACATCTCTGGAGACCTCAAGCTGTTCCAGCTGGAGACCTCTCGCTGTCCAATATTGTGGACTCATTCATTTGAGGACCTGCTGACAGGTGCTGGTGGAAAATGGAATTCATGGCCATCTGCACCGTTCGAAATGAGAAAATATGAGAAATACGGAATACGTTTCATTGGGGCAGCTCAAAGATGGAAGCCAACTTCACTAAAACTTGTGGAACACCAGTCAAACTAAGAGGTCAATGATGGTCAATGCTAGTGAACAATGGTCTTGTACACAAAGAAACACTGACCTTCTTAGTTCATTAAGCCACAAGGGTCTTGCGGCAAGACGTTGGGTCACCCAGGTTCCCTTCTGTGAGGTTCGGAATGGATCACAAAGAAAGGAACCTACCGGTGGAGCCACGGAGCGCAGTGACCCGGAACAAACTGTGATCCGGTTTGTGTTGGAAAGTGATAGGTCCAATCCATCTGAGCCATAGCTCTTGGAGCTGTTATTAGTTTTTGTTTGGTATGTTCAAAGTCAATGTTTTGGGCTGCCACTCTCCCTCTGCGACTCCCTCTCCCTCTCTTTCTCTCTCTGTCTCTCTCATCATTCAATCGGATGCTGATAAGTGCTCTCGTAGACACACCCTGAGGACACGGACATAGCACGTTTGGAACCGGAGACAAACATGTCATGCAATTGAAGGATCTGAATGCTGCCACCCGACAATGCAAAAAAGAATTGCCATTGTGCAAGAGTGCACACCAGATGCCTCCCTCTTACATCCCTCTTACCCGTCTCAGGATGAATGCAAGCTACCTCAAAAAGGGTAGCATCCTGCACCGTCCTGGGAAGTGTCCCCCCCAACCCCGCCCGGTGAGAACCCCCGCGAAGTCTGCTCTTGACATCCAACTGGTGGGCGAAGGTGTTTCCACCACCCAGCCTGACCGTGCACGACACGAGGGAAAAGACGGGGCGCAAGAACGGAAGAAGGGAAGCAGGGAGAACCGCATATAGAACAACAAATTGGTGTGTTTTTTTGAGTTGAATGGATGGATCATGGATGCATGAGCATGCTATAATGCAATGCTATGAGCATGCGATGATGCTTTCTTGGCAGGAACAAGGGCATGAATCCCGAACATGAGCAACAAAAAGCTGGGATGGATACTCCTTGAAGCGAGTGACTCATGTGGGGACGTCAAGGGCTGTTTGGTGGTGTACAGCCCCGCATAGACTTGGCTTCCAACGCGAGTTCGCAGCAAGGGCGTGTGCTTCGAACATGGGGGCACTGACTACCTGAACTCCAGGTCAACAAGACTGTGTCTGTATGGTGCTACAAAAGTGTTGCACATCAGTTGGATGAATCGAGTTGGACCGTCTTGGTGCAACTAGATCCCCCATGTGCAACTCGAGTTTAGCCTTCAAATGTATTCTTCCAGGCTTCGGAATCAATGAACAAGTGTCGAAGAACATCATGTTCCATCATGTTGTACATTATCGTATCAGTTGACATCAATATATGTAATCATTATATAACTATATATATATATATGTGTACACTATTACTTATAGTTAAACAAGATATTACATCCACAGAGTAGATGTAACCATGATGTATGATGTACTCACTTGTGTTCCACCCTGGTAATACTCATTGTTGGAGAATCCATGAGAATCCCTCCTCTGCCGATTCGGCTCAGGACTCCCGGACCCGGGCAGGGCGTTTGGATCACGGACGATGGACTGCAAGGGACCTCAGTCGCGCACACGAGGCACGGAGCCCGCCGGTTGGGATGTGGATGAGACCCAAACAGGTCAGTTGGACCTCATTTGGAGTTCGTCATATTTCAGTGTCCTCAGCTCTTCGGGGGAGACCTTTTGAGGCCAAAACCGACCTGGAAGAAGAACCATCGTCTATCTGGCCAGGGCGCGCCTCCCCATCAAACCACACACCCACCTTTTGTATCCCCCTTGCAATTCGGCCTCTCTCTTGGACTGTCTGATTCTTTAGGAGGCCATGGTGGCCACTGCCAGCTGCCACCTTAAAGAATCCTCAATCCACAGTGCCCATACCAACATGGTAGCTTAAAGAATCAGGACTCTGCCAACACATACTGGGCACTGGCCCTAAAAAACAGAACATGTTGAGCACAGTGCATGTGGTGCCATCTGATTCTTTAGACTGGGACACGTGGCTGGGTTCTGATTTTTTAGGGGGATAGGCCCCATGAAATAGCATGCCGGTGCATTTTCCCCCCCAAAGCCATGCAAAAACAATACAAAACCCAAAAGACATGAGTTTTCACAGGTTTTTGGATTGTCGACCATTGTCGACCTTCTGATAATTATGGTGGATGACGAGGCAAATATATATATATATAGGAAAATGTTTGAAGAGCGATCATCATTGAACATTGTGATGTTATGACATGCTCACTTTTGATAAAGGCATTTGCCATTGGATGCCATTGGCATTGATCTCCAGGCTGAAAGATGCGAGCGTGTGGCAAAAAATGCACCTCTAAAGAATCACACTCCGCTGCCACTCTAAAAAATGCATGGTGAACTCTAAAAAATGCATGGTGAACTCTAAAGAATGGCCTGCTTTTTGACAACCGGGTTGTCTGATTCCCTAGAGGAAATTGCAAGGGGGGTCCTTTTGTCACTGTTGCGCTCTCGGGCGCCCATCGATGCCCGTTCCGGCCCACGAAGGGGCCGGACCGATCGAGCGCCGGCCTAACACCCATATACGGTGGTTTCAGTGGTTTCAGAGGTTCGATGGCATGGTTCCCCCATCTATCCTAGACAGATGGGGGTCCACTACTAAACCACCTAACTTGGGATTTGTGCCATCTACGACTCGATGAGGTGTTCAGCACAGGGCCTTGCTGGGCCTGTCCGGGAACGAGTATCTCTTAAGCGAAACGCCGGTGTGACGCGTCCAATAATTCTGTGGTTGCTAAATGTGTGAGCTGGATCTACTTGCTCTCCGAACTTTTTGCGAAAAGTTGAAAAGTTGTGAAAAGTCGAAAAGTGCACGAAAAGGCAACGATGATAAAAGAGTCACCCGCCAAAAGGTCCCGGGGCTTGCCGGGTCCTTTTGGCGGGCGTCTCTTTTTCGAAGGCGTTCCTGCTCGAGGCTAACTCACTTTGACACGGCTGGAGATGTCTGGAAAACAGCAACCTGTACCTATTAATCAAGCCCACCCTCTGGCCTCCATCTTTTTTTCCATCTCTTTCATCCTGCAATCCTCGTTCATGTCCTAATCATCCCAATCAAAGAAAGAATCTTGTCTTCCAATCTCTTTCATCTCTTTCCTAATCATCCCAATCATCCCAATCTTTCCCAATCTTGTCATCATCTCATCATCCATCATCAGGTCATCACCTCTATTAAGGGGATGTGGTCTCCAATCCCTCCAATCTCAAACCTTGTTGACCTTGAAGGGGGTGTTGATGAATCCTACGTCGACATGACTTCCAGAAGGCCATCTGGAGTGAGCGCTTCAGCAGACCGGCTTTGGGACAATCAGGAGTGAAGCCATCAAGCACTTATGTTTGATCCTGATCGACCCTGATCGACCCCGATGGCTCACCACTTCCCCATGGCTCACCCCCCATGGCTCGAGAGCAGAGCGTCCGCAAAGCCGAAGCTACCAAGTCGAGCCCACAGAGTCCAATGAGTTCGAGTTCATGATATTTTTTGTGTTTTAATAGTATGTTTAAATTATTGTTTATATGTTATTTAGTGTTTGTGTCATTTTTAAAACCCTTTTCTTTAGTTTGGAGTTAAGCAGTTAAACCGTTAAACCACCTTTGGGGAAAAACAACACGTCAAAGGCCCGCGAAAACCAACGACATGGCCCAGCAGCTCGAGAGGTACGCGGCGGGGTCATAGGCGTCATCGGTTCCTGCAGATCGATCTAGCTGAGACTATGGTTGATTGCATCCCAATCAATTCCTTTACACTATATGATGCAAGGAACGAGATTCTAGCAACATCAAAACTGCTTGTGACTGGGATTCCGAAATCAGAAACTCCAAGCTTTCACCGAAAAACTCGGTGACATGGGGAATTCTGTGAATAGTAACTAGAACTGGGTCAGGCAAATCTCCGTAGGTTCAATCTCCTCAGCTGCATCAACCCGCCCTGCAGAGGAATTACATGGATTTTACCCTCAAATTGCGGTGGTGCGCTGTCCCGAGATGGCTGCCTAGACGGAGTCTCCATGCCCCCGACCTTGGAGTCGTCCCAGACCCAGACCGTTGCGTCTCTGGTCTCTTCGTGCGCTGTCCCGCCTTTGGGATGGTCAGCTGGCTCTTCCGGGTCGGTGAAAGCGCATCCTGTTCGACGGCGGGTCGAGTGGTTGCAGGGTTGCCGTAGGGTGACTGATACACTCCCGAACTCACATGGTTACCTGGATGGCGTGGCCCCGAAAGGAAGACTACTTTCCTCCACCAAGAGGGGGTTGTCCACTTCCATGATTGTTGCAGGGAGGGTATCTGTTCCAATCACTGATGTTGATGCTGCTGATTATGATGCTGACGACGACGATGATGATAGTCAATAGGTGGTTATGTAAGTGATCACATGTACATGTGATCATTTTCTTACCAACTCACCCAATGATTGGGAAAACCACAACTTCTGGAACTTGCTGAGTCTTGAGCAAGTGGCGGGATGATGGTCACACTCCCATCAGTGAGAGCTTCGGGGGCTTCAACCCTTGAACCTTGGACTTCCCCAGGCATTTGTTCTCAGGAGTAGCAGTCGGCAGCTGTGCACACGTTGAGACCCGCTAGTCACCATCATGGACACAATTCCGCTGTTCTTTTCGAATCAATGATAGAAACAGGCATTGGCTATGAGTGGGACAGATTCCGTCCACTCACCTGAAACCTGGCCATGTGTCGGCCCTAAGGGAAAT